GCGCCGCCGGGCCGCTCCAGGGACTGGCCGGGGCGGGGCGCGGCGGCAGGAAGCGGGGCGGGGACTCGCGGAGGCGTTGGGGAGCGAGGGAGGGCGCGGCCAACTCCCGGAGGGTCGGCAGGCCTGGAGAGCGGCGCCCTTGCTTGGCGCGGAGCCTGATCCCGCCGGACGGGAGGCGGCCCCGCCACGGGCCCGGCCTCGGCCCCAGTCCCGCCAGCATGGCCGGTCGGACCGTGCGGGCCGAGACCCGGAGCCGGGCCAAGGATGACATCAAGAAGGTGATGGCGACCATCGAGAAGGTCCGGAGATGGTGAGCGCTGCGGCAGGGCCGGGAACGGGACATGGCGAGGCCACTGCCCCCAAATGCGTTTACCCTCCCCTGGCCAGCTGTGGCCCCCAGATGTTAGGCATGCGTCCCAGCTGTGCCCTGGATTGACAGGGCTCTGCCCTCCTTACCCTGGTAGTCTCCAGCCTTGCCCTCCCGGAGGGGGGGCCCAATTTTTGTGCCCCGCCTCCTAAAGCTGTGGCCCGCTCCACTCTAAGTATGCCCCAGGATATTCATTGCCATGGTCCTCACCCAGGCCCAGAGCCATGCCCCCAGGTATGCCCCAGGGTTTTGCAGAGCCATGGCCCCGAGCCATACCGTATCACTAGATGCATCCTCATCTGTGCCCTGGGGCCTGCAGGACTCTCTCCCTCTAACTATGCCTCATTACCAAAACTGTCCCTTCCCTTGTGCCCCTCCCCTACCTCTGCAGGTACCCCCAGATGTGCCTAGCTGGGGGGCTCTTCTCCCAGACCTCTCTGACCCAACTACCTCCCATCCTCCCACAGGGAGAAGCGCTGGGTGACTGTGGGCGACACTTCCCTTCGTATCTTCAAGTGGGTGCCAGTGGTGGACCCCCAGGAGGAGGTGAGCAAGCCCCCACCCCACCAGACCCTGCATCTATGCAACCTCAGACAAGCCCCTCCCCACCATGGCCTCCGCCTCTAGTCCCCACTCAGACCTCAAATGCAGCAGCCCAGACAGATGTCAACAATTATCAGCCACCCTAGCCCCCTTCTTTTTCCCTGCTCCAGAGCCCAGAATTCAGAACTTAACTCAGTGTGCACAACCTCTGTCACCTCAGACAGGGCCTTTTGCTTCTCTGTGCCTCAGTTTCCTTATCTGTACAGTAGGGGATTGCAAGAGCTAACCAGAAAGACACTTGGGGCCCTGACCCTTATCCCTCTAACCCTCAGGACCGACGACGGGCAGCTGGTGGTACAGAAAGGTCCCGTGGCCGGGAGCGGCGGGGCAGGGTTGCCAGTCCCCGAGGGGGTGGTCCTCTCATCCTGCTCGATCTCAATGGTATGTGGGGATCCTGGGATTTGGGGGATGAGGGAAGTGGAGGAAGGGTCTGGGGAACTCAGGCCCGATCCTTCTGGCTTCTTGCTCCCACAGATGAGAACAGCAACCAGAGTTTTCATTCGGAAGGGTCCCTGCAAAAGGGCACTGAGCCCAGCCCTGGGGGCACCCCCCAGCCCAGCCGTCCTGAATCGCCTGCTGGACCCCCAGATGGGGTCCCAGAAGAGGCTCAGCCCCCACAGCTGGGCCAGGAGAGAGGTAGGACCAGGTGCCCCCCAGGAGCTCTCTCCTCTGATGAGTCCTGTCCTCTACAAAGCTGAACCCACCCAGCTTCCCTGCATATCTGTTCCTCTTTTGTTACTTCCTCAGGGAGGCCTTCCTTGACTTCTGTGGAAAGTTAACACCCTACCTCTAACTACTGTCTGTCTCATTCCTCTGGCTTCTTAGGGTCTGTGGATCTCTTAACATCATCTGAAATTTCATGTAAATTTACCTTTTTAGTAGAATAATGTCTTTCTCCCGTACTCCCACCTCGTGTCAGCTTCATAAAAGTTGGGCTCATATTGAGCTTGTTCACTACACTAGCCTTAGAACACCATGTGATACATAGTAGGTGCTCAACAGATAACTTGTTGAGTGATAATCATAAAAGGGATTAACACGATATTGATGATAATAGGTAATATATATTGAGCCCTTACTGCGTGCCAGGCACCGTTCTAAGTACTTGGCTTGCTTTATCTTTTTAATCCTCACCACAACCCTATGGGAAGGAGTGTCCTATTACAGTCCCCATTTATAGATGAGGAAACTGATGCTCAGAGAAGTTATGTAAGTTGCTGAGCTGACACAGAAAGCTCCCTTTTCCATACAGTCAGTCAGTCCCTGCCTTTCTCTCCCTCCCCAGGCCCTGTCCTGGCTCTGGCCTTCCCATCTGTCACGCACACCTGGCTCCAGTCTCCTCACCAGTCTGCCACCTCCACTTGCTTTCACACAACTGCCA